ACACACACACACACACACACACACACACACACACACACACATGCACGAGCCTGGCACACGTAGGTACTCAGGGCAGGTCCAAGCCATAAGATTTTGTAGTTTATTTTGGCACCAAAAACCATTAATTCTGACCGGCTAGTATGAGGTTAAGTGAATTTTGTGATTCGATCTGGGAGTCTAAGAAATCTTTTTGTAGTCTTTAAGCACACTTCATCAGGACAACATTTTGCAGTGGCAGACAAAGTTGAAAAGAGGTGGAGAAAGGAGGGCTGGAGAATGCTGAGGTAGTCCAGAGAATTCAGCAAGAAAGGGATTAAGATTTAAAAGGTCTACTGGTATGTTGAGGATTTTGCTGAGGGTAAAAGAAAAGAAAATTATATAATGAGGTAAGAACCATGGGCATGGGTATTCTAATACACAGTAAATAAATAAATGGTGAAACGAATGAAGAATGACTATATGTGGTGAATGGGAAGAACCTCTGAATTTGGATTCAGAGGACATGAAATAGAGCCGCAGATGGACCATATTTGGCTGTGCGACCTTGATCTAATCACTTAACCTCTCTGATTCAATGTTGTTAACTGTTAAATGGAGATCTCAGTACCTATTTCTCAAGATCGTTTAGAAAGCAGATGGGAAAATGAAAGAATATGAGAAAATATACTCAGCGTTGTTTATGTGTTAGGAATCTGTGTTAGATAAAATTGATTCCTAACACATAATAAATAATCAATACATATTAGCTGAATTTAAATATTAAAAAAGAACAGGATTTTTTATTGTGAATCTCCTGTATACTAGCTACCTGCTGAAATCAATTGCATGTATTTTCTCATCACTGAGGTCCTATCTGTTAAACAAGAAGTACCAACCTAATTACATAAATACCAACTAAAATTAATTGACCTATAACTAAGTGTATTTCCTTTATGGGCATTTGTTTCATCATTTAATATTGATTAATGTGTACAGATAGTAAATAGATCATTACTGACAGTTAAACTTCACCAGCAAGGTCATGGTGCCATAGGTATCTGACGTGGTGTTTTGGGATATGTGATCCTGCTCTCCACCTTCATAATACAAGGACTTGGGGACTATTTTGGTAAAGTGCCTGTGTGTTGTTTAATTTTATGCTCAGAACTCTGATTGGTTAGGATTTTGATTGTGATGATGTCTATCATATGTCAGTGGCAAGACTGACTCCATTCTGCCTCCTTCAAAGTACTGACTGAGGCGCTGTGTCTGCTAACAGATGCTTTAAAAAAAAGTGAGG